TGGGAGCCAGCAGACCTGGATTTGAGTCCTGACTGCACCACCACTGTGGGCCTCTCCTGTATCTGTGCAGTGAGGCAGACATGCCCTTGTGCCTACCTCCTAAGTCTGCGATAAGCACCAGTGTGTCTCGGGGTAAAATTTCCAAAGTGGAACACTCTTCTCCCAAGGCCTTGTAAGGCAAAACTCACATTTCTTAGCCTGTGGTTGAAAACTGCCCAGGTATCCTGGGAGGGAGCCCTGTGCTCCAGCCGTGAGACACGAAAGCTGAGCAGTTAAGTGAGCTCTGCAGTCAACCAGTTCAGGTTTGGGACCCTGGCTTCAACTCTTATCTCAATTTTCGCATCTGTCCCCTTGTATTTGGTCTCATCCTCTTCTCCCCTTTCCCACAGCCAGCGAGTTGTCTGTTGAGCTCCTTGTACCTTCCCTCTGCCCTCAGGTGTGGGTTTTGCTACCAGGCAGGTGGCCAATATGACCAAGCCTACCACAGTCATCGAAATAAATGGGGACACTATCACCATAAAAACCCAAAGCACCTTCAAGAATACAGAGGTCAGCTTCAAGCTGGGTGTGGAGTTTGATGAGACAACAGCCGACGACAGGAAGGTCAAGGTGAGTAAAGGAAGGGGACACGGGTGATCGAGGATGTTGAGACCCTGAAGGGGAATAAACCGGCAGTCTTGCATCCTATTATTGCACCCTGAGGGGCAGGCGATTATGGGGGATTGAAATAAAACAAGGGCCATAGCAGGAACAGTGCTAAATGCATGTTGGTCCTGTCCTCTCGTTTTCCTCCTCTCTTCTTGAGAAGCATGTACCAGCTGCCCCTGGGAGTGGCCTGCAGGGGGCCGGGATGTTCTGACTTGTGTCTACGCCAGTTCTGGCTGGAGGGTCACTGCATGGCACGCAGTAACTCTGGGTTTCTTCCCCCTACCATAGATGGGGAACTGGTAGCGGCCATGGCCGTTACCTCAGGTGTTTCAGGAACGAGGGCCAGAAGTCAGGGCCCTCCACTGAGTTAGTAGGTCATCCTGGCCTCCAGCAACAAAGGACGCAACTGGGGATAAGGAGCTGAGACCCACTCAGATGCCTCCTCTTCTCCAGTTGCCACCTCCCAGACGTGGCCAGTGACCCTGAGGAAGTGTTCCCAGTGCTGCCAGTCCACAGGCAGGATAAGCTGTGGTCTGCACAGGACTTTGTCTTGGGTGTGTTTGTAGAGTCTTCCAACCAAGCCTTAGTCCACCTCCTTCCAGGGATGAAGAGGGCACCTACCTCCAGCTCAGGGCTTGTCACCCTGCAGTGGCTTTCTTGGCAACTTGCTTGGGCCTCCCTGGGCGAGGAACGCGAGAACAAAGGGGATTTGATCTCTACAGGGTGCCCCACCGGACACTACCCTTCAGTGCTTCAGCTGTTTCCTCCTCCTCGCAGCTGCCCCTAGGAAGGGGAGCGTCTGGGCTCTTCTTTGTGGAGGAAACCGATGCCCAGCCTAGGAGCACACGGGAGGCTGGCAGCAGAGAGCTTGGCTGGTGCCTAAAGATGGCAGCCTACCTGGGAAAGAAACAGCTGCCCCGAACACATGCCTGTACCTCCTTGAACTAGCCCACCTTCTTGAGGGGCAAAACTCCCAACTAAACAAGTTTCCTGGGATGCCAGGCTAAAAATAATTTGCTGCGAGTGGGCAAAAACTAAGGGATTGGGAGTAAGGTGGTGCTAAGGATACATCACCTCCCAGCCCCAAACACATGTATACAGCTGTCTCAGATTCTTCCACTGAACTCTGCTCAGTCAGGGCCCCTTAGAGCCCCCAAATTCCTGGAGGAGAGACCTGGGAGAGCTGCCAGGTAAGAACCAGCTGATACAGGCTGGTAGCACCCAGAAGACTAAATGGGCATTTGGCCAGAGCCATGGAACAATCCAAGGGCACCCCGACCCAGGACCTGGCAGTTGCTGCCCACTTGTCAGCTGAAGGGGTCATATGATGTGGACCAAGAGCAGTAGGAACACAGGGAGGGAAGTCTAATTTTCCAACACCCCCTCCATCATCCTCATGGGTCTTTCAGACATTATGTGTGATCACTAGACGGGAGTCTCAGGACTCCTCACCAGTCTTTCCCAGGGATATAGGTAGGCACATGCCCCTTGTATCTTAGGGGCACCGAGGCTGTGGCATCACTTAATTCAAGTACAGGTTAAATGTCCATCTTGAAGGCTGGTAGTGCTTCTGAGAGCCAGGCTGCCTGTCTCTTCCTACTTGTCCAACACCTGAAGGCCCCTCCCCCAGACAGGCAGCGGTGGAGCAGAGGCTGGAAGTGATCTAGACATCGTGCAGGGCTAGGTTGGAGGTGGGCTGCCTGAGCTCTGGGCCTAGCACCATCATTAGTTTGGGCCAGAGGCCCAGGGACCAGACCCCATCATGCTGTCTCAATCCTGGCTCAGATCACATCTCAGGCCTCCACCCTCTTTCCACAGTCAACTGTGACGCTGGATGGAGGCAAACTTATCCACGTGCAGAAATGGGATGGGCAAGAAACAACACTTGTACGGGAGCTCGTTGATGGAAAACTCATCCTGGTAAGATGGACAGATTTGGAGCTTCACCCAGCTGATTACTACTGCTGCGCCTTCAGCCAAGCTTGTTGTAAAAAGCCGAAGTTTTCCCCTGGCCGTGCTGGCAGCTGGGACAGTGGGGAGTGGAGGACAGGCCGGGGGTGGCATTAGGTGGGAATTTTCTGTGTAGGGCTTTGGACTCACATCTCAGTCCTAGGTTTCAATCTGAACTTACAGGCTGTGTGACTTTGGACAAGTCACCTTCAAGTCCTCCATGTCAAAACAGGTCCCAGAAACCGCCTCTGCAGGGCTGCTGGGACGTCTGAAGGACACAGTGGGTGAAGAGCATACATAAGGCATCACTGACATGGGAGGAAGACAGCAGGTGCTCCACAGCCTTAGTCTCCTCCTGTGCTGCCGCTTTGCCTCACCCCAGAGGGGAAAACAGGGCCGGGTCTGATCCCGAGTCCCTAAGAAAGGCTCCCACCTACCACAGCATCCCCTTTTCCCTCCTCCCTAGGGCACTGCCACCACGTGTGAAGCCCGTAGACAGTGACAGGCTAGGGCACCGACGTGACGGCACAGTCCTTTCCTCATTCCAGCCCCAGCCGCTCTGAGTGCCTTTCACACCTGGCCTACTGCAGTGCCTGGATAGAGCTGGACAGGAAGTGGCGACCATGCTGGCAGATCGGTTTAGGGACAAACCTGGGGACTCCACTCAGAGAATGTAGGCTTGACTGAACACCCCCAGGCCCATGGGGGGGAGACAGCAGCCATCTACCCCTAATTCCGCAGGGCCTCAGGTTTCCACTTCAGCATCTCCACGGCAGACCTTCTTGGGTCAGTGTGACCTGCTTGCCGCATTCTTGCACTCACAGAGCAGAGGTCCCTGCAGAGTTACGGACAAGGTGACTGCCTTCGGTAGAAATGAGATATGCGGGGCCAAATGCTCACTGGGCGATCAGCTGTGGCAAGACCATGGGGCTGGCTCTATGTCACCAGGCTGGATGCCCTGGGCCTACCCCAAGTAAGGGAAGGAAGGAGAGTTGGTGGCCTAGCACAGTCCTTCCCTGGGAGTCTCTGGATATTTGTATTCAGCTACATGTCTACTACATGCTAGGTGCATCTCAGGCATTAGGGGTGAAGGGAGAAGAATGGTGCAAGGGAAAGAGAAACACTCTGAGATCTTGACCAAGTTACTTCCTCTCTCAAGGCTCATTTTCCTAAGTATCTAAAAAGGGATTACATGCATAACTTAAAAGACCTGGTACAAGTATTGGAAAAAACAATACATGTAAAGCGCCTGGCACATAGCTAGTAACTGAGGATTATTAGGATGGAGGTAGAGGGCTCCTGCCGTCAGGATGGAGAGCGGTCCCGTTTGTGCCCTCAGCCGTGCCCTAACCAGACTCTCTCCCCTTCCAGACACTCACCCACGGCAACGTAGTCTGTACTCGCACCTACGAGAAAGATGCGTGACCTGCCCGCTCCTTCACTGACTGCTCCTCTGCCAACTGCCCACTGGACTCAGCACCAGATTGCCTCATTTTTTCCTCTGGCATTTTGTATAAATTCACCTCGGTTGGGGAAATTCTCCCAGGGTCAGGTGCACCATCCTGGATCCGGTTCCAGTACCATTGTGTTTGTTTTTCTAACTGCATCCAAAGAGTGTTCTGAGGTCAATAAAGCAGGGACAAGACAGCCCAGTTGCCTGTTTGCCTTTGATGACATGATGCTGGGAGTCTCGGTGTCCCCGTGTCAGAGAGTGGGCAGACACATCTGCCTGAAGGTCATGCAGGAAGAAGCACTGGAGGAGACTGAAGTGGACAGTCTCGGGGACAGTGGTAGCTGTGGCCCTGCACCACCTTACACGTACAGTAATGTAATAGCTGTACCTATACCTTGCCTTTACTTCCTCTCCAAATGGCCAAATGAGCTGGGCCAGCCTGGAATAATCAATCAGTAGCAGGGCTTCCCCAGGCCTGGCTGCTGAACTATCACCTCAGGCCCAGCTGTACTGAATGCCCTTGGGTCTGGATAGTCGCTCTTCTCTGTGCAATGCTGTGGTCTCCTTCCAGAACGCAGGCTCAGGACAAAGGACCCAGGCTTGCACCATGGTGGTAGGAGAAAATGCTCACTGGCCAAGATGACTGCTGAGCTCCCACTCACACCCCAGGCCATTGCTCAGTTATAAATTCTCGCTGGTCCTCAAGCAGCTCTGAGAGAAGAGGTCATCTGGGCATTAAAGAAGGGGACTTGTAAGTGATCTAAGTACCCGCTAGTACACCTGGCTCTGCACCTCAGCTGGGCCTCTCCCCACAGTCTAAGGTAACTTATTAAATGGTTTCCTGTCAATTCATGTAGACTCAGTGACTTTTAAGTCTGTAAGTTCAGTCTGGGAATAGCTATTTTAGCAATAAGAACTTTCAGTAAGTCTAAAACCAAACACACTTCCATTTAGTGCCAGGAATTTAAGCAGAAACCTGAAGTGGAACCAATTGACTCATACAGTGGTAAACACAAAGTGAAGCAATGATCTTGGCTTGAGTTCTCTGGTTTGGTGGTCTGGCAGAATGTCACACACAAGCTCAGTCACTGTGAACAATGGTTTTGTGGCTGCAACCATTGGCTGTCACTTCTAGCATAGTAAAATTATTACATTAGGGACATGGAAAAAGTGAGCACCACTTCTTACCATATTCTCAGACTGCCAGTCTCCTATCTGCCCCAGTGCTGGTTGGGTGCAGCAGAGATCACCCACCAATCAGCCCAGGGCAAACCAACAGGGAGGGGCCAATCACTCTGTCCTCCAACTACAGCCAGACTCACCTCCACAGCAATAACTGTGGCTCTAGCCTGGACTCCTGCACAGGAATCAGGCTCTGGCAGTGGCAGCTGGAGAGGATAATAGGACCTCCTGCTGAATAAAAGATGTTGGGTGAATGGATGGGTAAGCTGCAGGTGTCACTTGCAAATGGACCAGGAATGACAAGGAAACAACTCATTCAAGCAGATGCTTCTGACGTGTAACTCCCAAACCTGCCTGCTACTTGAGGGGAAGCCAACTCCCATGGGAGGGAAGTCATGGGGTGGGAGGCCACATTCTCACTACTGGGTCTTTTAGGAGCCAGGGCTGCAAGGCACAAGGCTCCTGGTTCCTTCTCTCAACCACCCCCTCTACTCTTTGCACCCTCACTCCTTGTGCTTCTTCTTGTGTTTCTTCTTCTTCTTCTTCTTCTTTGCTGCCTTGCTGTCTTTTGATGTGCGCCTTGCCCTCTTGCCTGTATCACTCTCAGAGTCTGAGCTGTCGGAGTCAGATGACTTCTTGTCTCTATGTTTCTTTTTCTTCTTCTCCTGGAAAGAAAATTAAACTCAACATGGTATGTGTGTATTTGCTTTAAAAAATCATGACATGTAATCCATAGGTGACCACTTAATAAATTATAAAATATTAATTAAAAAGAATAAATTAAACCTTCAATTATCAAGAAGAAAAATGCTCAAAGCAAGTAAAAGATCAAGTCATAATACAGTGTACACTCTAGATTCTAGTGTATTTAACATACTTGTACTCATACACACATGTACACATGCCTAACACACAATGTGTATATACACACATATTTACGTATACCTGTATGTATTTACAATATACAGAAAAAAACAGAGTATACAAAGTGGTAAGCAATATCTCGGGAATGTATTGAATAGGGAAAGATAGGGTTCTTTCACTTTTTATTTCATATAATTCTGTCCAGCCTGATTTTTTAAAAGATTTTATTTATTTATTTTTAGAGAGGGAAGGGAGGGAGAAAGAGAGAGAGAGAGAGAAACATCAATGTGCGGTTGCTGGGGGCTGTGGCCTGCATCCCAGGCATGTGCCCTGACTGGGAATCAAACATGCGATGCTTTGGTTTGCAGCCCGCGCTCAATCCACTGAGCTACGCCAGCCAGGTTCCAGCCTGATTTTTTAAACAAACATTTATTATTTTCATTTTTAAAAGCACAGATAATTAAAGCTGCAAAGAGTCCTTAGAGATCACCTAGTCTATCCGGAGACAGTGCTTCACACGCCCAAGGTCACAAAATAAGAGTAAGAGATTTAGGACTCCTGACGCCCACTCTGGTTTCTATTAGACCCTGCTGCCAGGGTAAATGACTGCCATGAATTAATAAGACTCTACCTGCTGCCTCTGAATATTTATCATTTCTAACCTTTGCAACAACCTTACAAGATTATATGATAAAGAAAAAAGTTCAGAAAGGATTTTCTGAAAACTCCCCACACCACCTTGCTGCCACAGTAACAGCACAAACTCTGGAAGGCAGATTCCCAGGCTCTGGGCAGTTTTTAAGCTTTGCATAAACCTTCTCCTTGAATTACAGATGTTTATATCGCCTTAGTGAAGTTTCTGAGAAGAGAGACTATGGGAAGAGAAAGAAACAGAGCAGAAGAGGGTGAGGCTCTTGCTCCTATAGGCTTTCAACCAGCATCCCGAAAGCTGTAAGGCTGCCAGAGTGATGCACCAGGTCTTAGAAGCTGGCCGTGACAAATGGTGGACACAACGCCGAACCAGGTATTAGACAGACCAGAGCTCTGGCTTTGCCATTTACTATTCTGTAACCCTGGGCACTTTATTTCACGATACTAAGTTTCCTCAAATGTAAAACAGAGTGACAAATAGCGCGAGAGAGAGAAAAAGAGAGAAGTCACGCGGCTGTGGTTAAGATTTAATGAGACAACATCCGCGGCCAGAGAAGCTGACAGCCACTTGCCACAGGCAGGGCTGGGATCTGCACGTGGATCACGGGACTGGGAATCCCCTGAATCTTCCTCTGTAGCACACAGCCTCTCTATACAGTGCTGGGAGGCCTCGTGGCATGATGACCAGAACTACAATTTTGTAATAAGATAGAGGGAAGTTCAAATTCCAATTTTATCACTTAGTACCAGTGTGACTTGGTAACAAGAGGCTTAACTTTTTTGAACCTTAGTGTTCTTTTCAGTAAATTGCAAATAATAACTAGCTACTTCAAAGGATGCTACGAGCATTAAACCTAAGTTCTAACTATAGTGCCTGATATATGGTAGACACTCAAGGGTCGCTAGAAGTAATGATTGTTCTCTCATTTCAGAGAACTCCAGAATGTTCTGACAACCTGGCCACACACCTATGGCAGATAAGTCAAAGTTCTGAAAGGCAATTAAACCAGATATTTTTTCTTGGAGTCTTCAGTGGAGTAGAGAGAGGGGAAGCTTCCTAGGCCCATATTACCAAGCTATAGAGACCACAGCTGGGAGGAGCTGAGAGTTGGCAAATTAATGGTCTGGTTAAGGTACTGCAGTTTCCTGGGGGGCAAGATCATGGAAGCTCCTCACAGGCTATACGGGCTTGGGAGTCTCACCAGGTTCTGCCCCTTAGACAAGGCAGGCTCCTGGGGAAGAAAATACACATAAATGCAGAGTCTGGCACCCATTCCCCTTAAGCCTGGCCCAGCCTGAGAAAATGAGGAAGGAAAGTAATAACGCTCCTTACATCCAAGTAGCACTCCAGTTTATCAAGCTCTCTGCCTCCCTTACCTTATTATAACAATCTGGTAAGGCCAAAATTCAGGAATTTTTAGTCCCATTTTACAAATGAGAAAACAGCAACTCAGAGAAAGTACATCAAATCAGTCAATGCACACTGCAGTGATGGGAATGTGGTCCTTTCTTACACAGAGTTTGGCATTATTTCCATCTTGCTCTCTCTCAAAGATGCAGGCTCAGGAGAAGAAAAGAGAAAAGCAAATCACTTGAGGACCCTAGCATGCCACAATGTGTACTCTACTTAATAAGGAAACTCTTAAACCTCAATCTTGATGCAAAAGCTCTTTTGCAACCCAACCAAAGAAAATCTAGTCCTCTAGCAGATAACATCATTTTCACTGTGTGTTAAAACTTTTCAGCTACAGAACAAACAACAATCACTTCAGAAGTTGTAGTTCAAAAGGAAACTTGGGAGCTGGGGTGAAAAACAATGGACAGCCAAAGGTGAAACTACCTTCTGGTCGCCCAACTGCATTCCAGGGAGAAGAGAAGACAGAGGGGAAAGGAATGACCGGGGTGTGAGCCCTAGGCAGACAGGCCAGGAGGGACCCAGCAAAGAAGCCATGGCTCAAAACTGCTCTCTAGGAAAAGCACACACCTCGTGCCACACCAGCCAGCCCACCGTGTTCTCTACAGTTCTGGAACAGGAAGGTGGCAAACCAGTGTAAGAGAAAAAATCAAAAACTGAGAAAGGGGAATAACAGCAACTAACATGTACTGAGTACATACTTTGGATGCCGAGCTAGGCACTTCTGACACGCCCCTCATCTAACCTTCACAGCAAATCTACTATGTGGGTATTACTACCCCTATATTTTCAGAAAAGAAAATAATAACTTCAGAGAGGTTGACTGAGATAAAGAGACTTGCCCGAGTGGTAGAACCTGTATTTGACTCAGTCTGGGTCCCAATGTGGATGTTCTTTTTAGCCCTGTCTGGATTACAGGTAGTATCTAACTTAGTACCTCCCAACCAAAAGGCACTGATTTGGTCAAAAAGCAGGCAAGCAAGCACTTACTATTTTTATTTATTCTTAAGAATTATTATTTTTTAACTAGTTTTTTTATTTATTGATTTTAGAGAGAGAGAAAAACACTGACTTGTTATTCTACTTATTTATGTATTCATTGGTGCTTCTTGTATGTGCCCTGACCAGGGATTGAACCCACGACCTTGACATATCTGGGTGACGCTCTAACCAACTGAGCTACACAGCCAGGGCTAAGAATTATTTTTGAGAAATGATTGATTCTCAAGAGATAATTTGATTCTCTAGGGTGAATTTTTGGGAAACAGGACAGAGGGTAATTCCTGGCTAGAAGTTCCTATAGAGCACCAGCTTATCACAGATTGGAAAAGGTAAGACCACAGGAAAAAAAAAAAAGTGTTATTAATCAACTCACAAATATTTACTGAACTTTACCACCTACAAAGCACTTTAGAGACCCATCATTACATATAGTGTTGCTTAGGAGTGACAACACTAGGATTTCTTAATAGAATTCATACAAATAGAGAGTAGTATTGGCATTAGTAGGAGATAACAAAGCAAACACACTCAGTGAGTGGAGCCTGGCACCATTCTTCCAAACCTAAGCCAACCTCATCGAAAAAGGGAGTAATAACTCCGCACAATCACACAGTACATTTATTCAACAAATATTTGGTGATTACCTTCTATGAGCCAGATATATCTACTGATTAATTTGGTTTTGATAATAGCTGGATGAGGTCAGAAATTAGGGACCAGGACCCTAGAAGGAACAAACTATCTAAGCAAGGAAAAAGAATAATTAAGATACTGGACAGGCCATGGAAATGATGTGAGAACAGTACAAAAGACAGGCTATGGACATACAGGGGAAAGAAATCAGTCATGGCCGGGGAGTCTGAGGACGCTGCGTGAAGGGCATGGACGTGCTGTGGATGCCAGCTTAGCGGGTGGAGCGGTGGCGGCAGTGCTGACGGGAGAAGGGGCGCGAGGCCCTTCCCACAAAGGGAGGGCAGACCGAGACAAATGCTTGACAGACCTTTCAAGAGTGACAAATTATCCCGTGTGGCTTAATCACGCACGGGATCTCATCCCTTCTCTCCTACGCAACACTGGCCCAGGAACTGTCCCTTCTCTTTTGCACCAATTTCCCCCTCTTTACTGGCTCATTCCTAAACAACAAATAAACAAATAAAAACTCTCCCGAACAACTTTAACCAGGCTGTTACCGCACCACTCTACTGTAATTGCTCTTGTCCAAGTGGCCAGTGAACTCCACACGGCCAAGTCTGTGGTCAGTTCTTGGGCCTCGTTTACTTGATCAGCTGTATTCAACACAATCCATTTTCCTTGCAACACACTCCTCACTTCACTTCCACCACATGCTCTTCCTTTTCTGCCGACTCTCCTGGCTGTTCCCTTTCAGTCTTCTTTGCTGGTTCGATCTCTAAAAGTTGGAACATTCTAGGGCTCACGTCCTTAAACCCCTTCTCTTCCCTGTATTTACTCTCCAGGTGATCTCATATATGAACTTAAATACCATCGATATGTAGATGGCTCCCAAATTTATGTCCTTTTTAGTGAAGTATACTTGACTTACAGTATTGTATTAGTTTGAGATGTCCAATACAGTGATTCAATATTTATATGCATTACAAAGTGATAACTATGATAAGCCCAGTTACCGTGTCACATTACATTATTATTGACTATATTCTCTCTAAATTTCTCTCTTACCCGCACCTCTCCTTTACCTCTGAACTATACATCCCG